GTATTATGCATAAAATGCAGAAAACTTTACAAATGGATATTCGGAAGAAGAAGAATACTATCAGGATATGCTAGAATAATACTAAAGTATGCCTTTTATAAAATAATTGGTAAATAATATGAAAAGTTTAAAAACATTATTGGAAAATGATAATAATAGAAATTCTATTGGACAGCCTATACTTGGATTAAATAGACTAAATATCATTGAAATAATAAGTTTTGTAATAAGAATATAATTCCCTATTGTACAAAAAGCTATTTTAGAAAGCTAAATATTATAAAGAATAATAAAGATGTTTTTTTAATATTAATGGAATAACATAATGCATATAATTGTCTAGAATATTTTAATATATATATTCGAAAATTATGAAAAGAAAAGCTTTTGGAAATTTTGTTAGAGTTTATTATTTGAAAATGATAACTTTTTGATAAAAGAAATAACAGAAAATTGTGAAAACGTATTTTTTTATATATAAGATAAAGTAATTTCCACTAAAGGATTTTTAGGTTACATTATTAACATTTGTGATTTTATTAATATTATTTTAAAATCAAAAAATATTCATTTGGAAACTTGGAATATTGTTTTTTAAAAAATAGACTAATTTAAAGAAAAGGCTTGCTATAATTTAGCAGGATTTAATGAATTCTTGAATGAAACTTAATAAAATATTGATGAATAAGAAAATAAGCTAGCACTTTACAATGAATATATTAGAAGTCAAATTGCATAAAAAATGAAGGCAAATCCAAATTTTTAAAAATAGGTGGCTTTATAGCAATATTATTAGAATCTAAAAAAGAAAAGTTTTCGAGATTAAGATGATAATTTTTATTTAAATAATAATTTGAATTAATAATAATAATTACATATTAATGATTAATAATATAATCAAACCTAAGGGAAAGATAATATGGATTCTAAGTAATCTAAAGTATTATTGAATAATTAGAATATTGAAATTGATTAAAGTTGTAGAAAAAAATAAAAAGAAGAAAATCTATAAGAAAAGAATGCATCAGAATAACAAAAAATAAAGAAAAAATAAATTTAGAAGTATAATTAAAACAATAAGAAGAATAAATAAAAAAGTAAATATAAAACAAAAATGAAAATGAAAAAATATTAGACAGAATAGAAAATTAATGTGAATTTAATATTTATCAAACAGATTAATAAAATTAAAATTTAGATTATTAGCCTGAAAATCAAAAAGATGAAAAAAACGATAAATAATAATTATAAAAAAATTAAAATGAAGTAAATCAAATACAAAAAGTTTAAAAAGATGAAGAAGAAGAGAATATTTAAAAATAAGAAATAACATAATTAAAAGAAGGAATAATATAAGATAGAGAAAAAAATAAAATAGAATAAGAATAAAATGATAAAAAGTAAGAATAAGAAGTAATAGTAGAAAAAGGAGTAAATTAAGAAATAGAAACAATATATTAAATATAAGAAAAATAAGACATATAACAAATAAAAGTTGAAAAAAATATAAAATTTGAATAAGAATAAGAATAAGAATAAGAATAAGAATAAGAATAAGAATAAGAATAAGAATAAGAATAAGAATAAGAATAAGAATAAGAATAAGAAGCATCTTCTAGATAAATATAAAAAATAAAAAATTTATAAAGTGATTTAGAAAATATAAACTAAATATAAGAATAGAGAAGGGTAACACAAAGCTAAGAAGAATTAGATGAATATAAGAAAAATCTAGATTTATAAAAAGGATAAATATCACTTCAAATGTCTAAGGATTAATTAGAATAATAAGACATAAAAAATCGAATTTCAGATTAAAAAGACGACCTTTCTGCAAAATAAGAAAAAGAGAATTAAATAAATAGCATAATCATACTATAGGAAGACGAAATAAAAAAATCAGAAAATTAATTAAAATAATTATCTTCAATAACTAGCAATCAAGAATTATACTAAAACACATTAGAATGTGAAAAATTAAAAAATATATATTAGAATTTATATTATGAAAATAGTTATAAAATAGAAGAAATATTAGATAATATAATTGACTAATATGAAAACTAATCGGTAAATTTTTTTCTTCAATAAGAATAAGATTATGTTTCAGAAAAAATATACTACATATAAGAATAATAAGAAAGAAACGAAAATCTTTTCGAGGAATTACAATAAAAACTTAAATTTGATTAAGAAAATGAAATTCATGAATTATTAAATTAAACAGAATAATATGAATAATTACTTATATAATAGTATTAATTCGAACAAACTATGATTGATACAAATGAAAAACACAAAAATAAACTTTTATAAAAATAGTAAATGCTATTATAAGAATATTAAAGGAAAAAAGAAGAAGAAAAGGATTTAATTCTTATAAATTATTAATATAAATATAAACAACTTATTTTTAAATTCACGTCAGATTAGCAAAATCTAAAAAATATATTAACAAATGTTATTGAAATTTAATAATAATAACTCTAAAAATAAAACGAATAATAGTAATAATAATAAAATTAAGTACAATATAATAACGAAATAAATGAATAAAATTAAAAGAGATAAGAAAAATAAGAAGAGGCTTAAATATAAAATCTAGAAAAATAATCAAACCAATAAGAAACAATACAATAAAACATATATTAAATAAAATAGAAATAATAGTCATAATAATAAGAATAATAACAAGAAAAAATCTCACCTAAAAAAGAGTAATAAGAAGAACAAAATCTTGTTTAAGTTTAATAAAATCTATAAAATTCAATTTCATAATAAACTAACTAAGAAAATAAAGAATTAACAAAAAAACAATCAATAAAAAAATAATTAAGATCACACAGCAGACATAATTCAATAAAATATAACATATAATCAAATAATATTTCTAAATAATCTAAAATGTAAATTGGATTTAATTCTTACTAATAATAAAATTATATTGTTTCACCAATTCTAAGTAATTTAATATATTAAAGAATCCGAGATAGAAAATAATCATTAACGGCTCCTAATTCTTTTTCCGAAATAGTTTAAATAAACTCAAAAAATAATTTTACAAGAACTTCTAATTCAGAAACATAAGTTAAAGAATTTAAAATTAAATTTTAAAGTAGTAAATCTTCGTTTTAATATATTGATTCCTAATTAAATCCGTATGATTATTAAGCTTCTTCTTCTTAAAGAAACAAATCACCTACTCCTGCACATATTTCAATTTAAAATATTGAAAAGTAACAAAATCCAGAGCCTATGAAAGGTAGGAAATTTAGCAATATAATCATTCATAATTTATAATTTAATAATTCAGAATATTAAATAGGAAGTAGAGTTTTATAATAAGACATAGAAACACCAATCTTAATATAAGAAAAAGAAACACCATCACAAATATAAGAAAAAAATAATATCTAAATCTAAAATGATTCTACAAATTTCAATGATAATAATATTACTTAATATGCATATGGTACTTCAATTTAACTTGTAGAAAAAAATGTATAAACCTAGAGATTTGATAATACAATTATTTATCAACATTTACCCGATGAATAGTAAAATTTGTAAAACTTTAAATTTTATCCAAACTAACCGATTTAGGAAAACCATTTCGATTTATCAAAAATAAAATAAGAGATACCAATATAAAACTTTGCAATAAATTCGAATTTTAATTAAAATTCTTTTAATCAATAATCGTTAAAAACTTCAGAACTATAGCCTATAACAAATGAAGAAATTTACCCTTTTAATAATTAGTAAACACAATATTAATCCTTTAGAAATTAATCAATTACATTACAGACTTTTAGCAATTAATTGAGTATGTAATAGCCTTCTAATGATTAATCAATATATTAATAAGTATATGATAATACTAACATATAAAAATAAAGCTTATAATAAATGCATAACGATGATAATAGTAACATATAAAAATAAAGTTTATAATAAATAAATAATAATGATATTTCATATGATAAAAAAAATTTAGATTATAAATAATATATGTCGTAATCTTTAGTTTTTTCTTTAGAAAATAATCTATATGAGTCAAATACCAAAACAAATTAATATTAAGTTAATTTTTAGTTATTGAATATTGAACCTTATTAGCCTATAACATTGAGTTAAGAATAAGAAAATAAATTTTAAACTGAAAATTAAATTAATAATGATTCTTATCATAATTATAACACTCCACTAATAAAAATATAGAATAATTTTACAGATTCTACAGATTCTACATATTTTTCTGTTCCTAATAATAACTATCTAAATTAAAATTTAAGCTTTAGTGGCGATACATAATATACGCTTAGTAAATCTCAAAGTTTTACTAATAAAAATGACTAAATAAATCAAAACTTAGAATAATATTCGAAAAGTTTTACACCGAAAGATTAATATAATGATAACCTTAAATTTGGTTTCAATTATTAAAGTAATAATGATTATTAATTTAATCCATAATAATTATCATATTAATAGTAAAATATTTAAGATTAAAAAAATGTTTTTATAAATAATTAATTATTATAAAAATAAAAAAAACTTGTAAAAGACCCTTAAATAGAGCTTCTTTTAAACAAATATTCTAAACACAAATAAGATTAAGCAGAATAAATTTAAATAAATAACGATGCATTAAAAAGAATTGAAACACATAAAGTCATAAGTTAATAAATTATAAACGATAAATAAAATCCAATTTTATTATATGTTCCTCAAAATTATAAAAATATAGATTATGATTGAAAAAAAATTATATATAAAAATATAAAATGATTAAATGTTTTAATTTATTTTATTAATAAAATAAAAAAAAAATTAATATATTGTTTGTTTTAATTATTTTAAATATTTTTATTTAATATAGCTTTCAATTTAAATCTTATATTTCTAGAGAATAATTATCATTATTAAAATTTGTACTTATATTGCTTTCATTAAAAGTTAATTTATTATTAAAACTTTAATTTTATTATTCTTTTAATTCATCCAAAGCCTTTTTTCTCATTTCTAGTTCCACTTCTTAATAAGAAATATCTTCTTAATTTATTTTTTTTAATGATAATCCGTCTTTTTGATTATTATCTTTATAATATTTTGATTTTGTCCACGCATAAAATTTATTAATTTAAAACATAAAAACAATTAAAAGCATTCCAAAAATAAATACAAAGACAACAATTCTCAATAAATATCTAATTAATAATACAATAATAATTTAATTAAAAATATAAATATAGGGCTAACTTAATAAATGAGGGAGTTTAATAAAACTCTTCTTTCCAAAAAGTATTATCAGCAGCAGGTAAAAACCCAACTTATTTATTATCAGAATCAAAAATGGTGTAATGCTTTTTGAGGAATGGTTCGCCAAGTATAACATTATTAGTTTAAGATAATTAAACATTAAAAATGCAATCTTATAATTCAAAATTTTCATTTTCTGAAGTATCTAAACTGCATTCTTTTATTAATTCTAAAAAGTTTAATTTTAACTAAACATCATTATCAAAATTTATAGCAAGTATTCCTTTGTGTACTAGATTTATACTTATATAATATTTTTATTTTAAACAAAATATAAATAATAAAATACTCAAATTATCTGCAATAAACCACATATAAATTTTAATCTACAACTTTGCAATTCGCCTTACTTATTCTGCTAAGAATCTTTACAAAGCTTATAAATTCTTGTAAAGGAAGTGCAATTAAACTTGTACTTAAAGTAATAATAGCTTATTTTTTTGCAAAAAAGATGCTATTATTATTTACCTATTGATTATTCCAATCACTCTCAGATTATATAATTTCCATACTTTTTAAAGGTAAAGCCCAATAATATTGAGATTCATCATTAAGAGGTACAAAATGTGCATTTTAAACTTTTTTATGTGAATATTTGTAATTAATACCTCCAATTGTAAGTGCATAATCGGGGAAATAATATCCTATTTCATTAATATAAATTCCAAAGACTTTTTTATTTTTTTTCTCGAAAGAATTTTAATCTTCATCGTCATCTGTAACATTAATTAGTGCTTATAAAAAATCAGTATTCGGTTCTATTTTTTTCTATTCTTTTTAAACATTAGACACGCCAAGCGCAATTGCCCCATCAGCAGTGAAATTTTAATAATTAACCATTTTAGAAACTGCAACTAATTTGAAATTTGGTAAAGTAGTAATATCCTAATATTTTTAATATTCGTCTTCTAATAAATATTCTTCAAAATATCTAAATAAACTCTTATTTTTTTCAGGTTCATAAGACATAAAAGAAAAGTTACTCTCTATATACTCTCCATATACAGACTAAATATTAGATGAAATTTATGCCTTCTTATTTTTCCTATATGCGTTTGTGACTACAAAATCAGTCTGACTTTAGTCAAATAAACAATTTTAAAAGCATTTTTATTCTTCTTTTTATTATATGCAATGAGTACATTAATGACTCTTTATCCATGTCCAAGGAGAATTAAGATCTAATGCTAATGCAGCTATTTAGTAATTAAAATTTATATCACCAATTAATACTTCTATATTATATGAAAGGTCTTTAAAATAACAAAGTTAAGTTGATATGGTTGTATTATGTGAAAATTATAGAATATCTTGAGGACAAGGATTCTTTTTTATATATTCAGATAATTGCTTGTTAGATATTACTTAGTATATGTTTATTTTATATTGTTATTGATTTCTTATTAAAGATAATTCTTCATAACATAAAAATTATATAAGAAATACAAATAGAAAGAATATCTTAATTTACATTTTCTTTTTTTTAAAAATTAATATATATTGTTTTTTTAATTTTGTATTTTAAAATTTTTTTTATTGAACTGTTTTTGAAAAAATATATTTTTTTAATAACAAAAGAAATGAAAGAAAAAAAATAGTTAAAGATGTCATTTAAGTGAAATTTAACTAATTTTTAATATATAAAGTTTTATTTATTTAATATAAAAACAAAAAAAATTAATAATAAATAAAAACTTATTAAATATATTTTAAATTAGAAAAAAATTTAAAAAAATCAATTTTTTTTTTTAAAAATAAAATGATTAATTTTTTTTAAATTACTATAATTATTATCATAAAAAATAATATATATATATAAATAATTAATTAAATTGATAAATAATATAATATTAGATACTTTAAAAATAAATTACTATATAAATATTATAATACTTATAACTATAAATGATTTTAAAATAATAATAAATATTATATTATATCAAAGAAAGTAATAATAGCATACATTAGGTTTTTACTAAAGTAGTAAATAATTTTTTAAAATCATTTTGAAACTATTAAAAAAAAATTAGAAATGAAAATATTAGTTTTAATATATTAAAATGATTAATTATTTTTAGAAAATTAATTTATAAAATATAATATAAAGGATATTTAAATAAGTAGTTACCAAACTTTAAATGAAGAAAAGATATTGAAAATTTGGATTGATTTATGATTTAAAATTATAAAAGCTATTAAACTTAAATGTGTCAGAAATATAATAGTAAATTGACTAAAGATGCTAAAAATTGTCGAAAAATTAATTCTATTTAAAGAAAGTAAATAATTAGTTAATAAAAATAAATAATTTATCAGCTTAATAATCACTAAATATAATAGATATAATAAAATCATACATTTGAAACTTTTCATATGAAAAAGCATCAGTCAATTAGTATTAAATTTAAATAGATTTCAACATTTTAGAAATCACAGAAAAAGTTTAACATTTTCATAAGAATAAAAAATATATATATAAAATAGAAATTAAAAAAACTGAAGAAAAAAAAAACAATATATAAACATAAGTACTATTTTATTTTTTATAAATTTTCATGTCCTTTAATTTTTTATATTTTATAATAAATTAATTTGTAATTGTGTTTATTAAAATTATAATTAATTTTTAAATAAAAAAATAATAATAACTTATTATCTTATTAAAAAAATAACAAAAAATTAATAATTTTAATAAATGTATTTAGAACATTAAAAATTATATATACTTTTAACCTTTTAAATATCGATTCTTTAAGCATATATTTATAATTATAAGCTTTTATTTGCAATTAAAAAATTAGAATAAAATAATTTATATAATTATTTTTTATTAAAATTAAAAATTTTAAAAATGTATATTAAAATAAATATTTATAATTTCGAAAAAATAAAAAGATAATAAAACTTTAGATAATTTAACTAATATAAGAAAAATAAAATCAAATAATATATATATTTACATAAATAATATCAAGAATAAAAAGAAATTCTGCAAAAGAAGAATATTTAAATTATATGATTATAACAAAAATAAAAATTTAAATAATTATAATATATTTATATCGAGAATAAATAAATATTTATTAATAAAATGGCAAAAAAATTATTATAGTATATAAAGTAAAAAGATTTAATAAATTTATAAATATTATCATTAAAAAATTAAATTATAAAAAATTGAATTGTAAAAAATTTATTAATAATTAATAATTTAAAATATAAACTTAACAAAAAAATTAAATTTGAAATAAATATAATTAAGATAAAAATATGATTAAGAAAGGTTTGAATTCGTATAAAAACATTAACAAAAATTAATGAATTAAATATAAAAAAGAAGATTTTTTAAGTTATTGTCATTAAAAAATAAAATTAAAGTTTTGAAAAATAAATATAAAAATATAAACTAAGAAATATGTTTAATTTATATTTATAGTTTGAAAAGTTAAAAATTGAATTTTAGAAGATTTTAAATAAAAATTATTATAGCAAAAACTTTGATGTTTAAAATCTTATTAAAACTATAAAAACTAAATGTTTATACGAATATACTAAGTCTTAAAAATACTATTATACAATAAAATAAAGAATAAAAAAAAATATATTCGATTTTTTTAATATGATATTACACAAAATATTTAAAAAGTGAATATTAAAATTAAATTCTTATACTTAAAAATAATTATAAAAAATCTTTATAAAGACATTAAAAATCTAATAAATAAAATATTACAATGATATTTTAAAAATATAAAATATCTTTTAACAAATTTTTATTTATAATTTGTATATTCATAGATTTAAATTATTAATTTTCATATTATATAAAATATTTTTTTTCATATATAAATTGACATTATTACATTCATTATTTTCAATAAATTTTTATTAAATCAATACTAAAAATTAGAATCATGATTTGTTAAAAAAAATTATTTATATTATATATATATAAAAAAAATTATTAAAAAATATATTTTATTATTAGAAACCTTTAAAAATTAAATAATATTAATAAACATTCAAATATATTATTTTCTCATTTATTTAAAAGATTTTTATTTTATAAATCAATAAAATATAATTTTATATAATATTATCAATTATATATTTTATTTTTAATTTTTAATTTTTATATAAAACCAAAATTAAAAAGGTAAATAAATAAAGCTTTTAGTTTTTCAAATATGCTTAAATTTTAATTTATTGAAATTCATTATATTTTATATTATAATATATAATATATATCAAAACTTAATTCGTAAAGTTCAAAATTATCCTATAAATCTTATTTATCTTGTTCTAATATATATTTTATATTTTAATTTCTTATTTATATTTTTTATAAGTATTTACATAATTCTATAGCTAAAAAGTCAATAATTTAATTATAATAGATTTAATATTATTTTTATATCTAATTGCTTCTAATGTATTCGGTAACATTTTGCAATGATATCTACATTTAATATTTTTTATTTAATTTTTTTTATTATTTTATTTACATTTCCACTTTTATTTATAAAATCATTAACTAACATCTCAGAAAAAAATTGTATAAACAAATTGCTAGCCCATTTATAATTATTCTTAAAAAATAGAAAAAAAATTAAATAAATATATTTCTTTTTTAATACATTTTCAAATTATTTTTTTAAAAATTGCTAAAATTAATTTTACAAGGATTATTAATCATTTTGATTTTCCTCTAAAGCTATATCTATATTATTGGTGTCAATTATTATAAATTTAGGCATGCTTAAGATAAAGCTTATCAAACATACAAAAAAAATAAGTAATTTATTATTCATATTTATTTTTTATTTTAAGAAAAAAAAATCTAATTTTAATTATATATATATTTTTTATTTTCAAATTCAAATTTTACTTAAAAATTAAATATTTTGTTTTTAATATTTTTATAATATATGTAATTTTTAAATTTTAAATATAAAAATAAATATATAATTATACTATATACTAATATTATCATTTAAAAGTTCCATATATAAAAGATAATAAAAAACTTAAATGTATTATTTGTAAAATAATAAACATTATTTTAATAATTCATATATTTAAAATCTAAAAATTATAACAAAAAATAATTTTTTTTGAGCTTAAATTTTGTAAATATAGAAAAATAATAAGTAAAATATATTTTTAAAATAATAATATATATTAAGAGAAATCTATTATTTAAATAATATATATATTTTTTAAAAAATGAATAAATAATTTTTTTCAATTTTTTTTTTAATTAATAAATATATTAATTTGCAAGAATAAAAGCAGATATAGAATATTGTGCTGGTTGAGGTTATAGTTTTATGTTTAAGAATGTTAAAAATAATCTTCTTTAAAAATATAAAGAACAGCACTAAATAGAAGTAAATGACTTATAATAAGATAAATATACATTAAATTTCTAAGTATTTCTATAAATTAATAATTAAACAAAAATTGAAATTTGGAATAAATAGAAAGGCGATGGAAAAGTAACTTCTGAAAATATCAAAATCTTAACTGATAGAATAGATTAGTTATTAAAAGAGTAAAAATGATCATTATTTTATAAAAGTATATAATAATTTTAAGTAATAATTTTAAAAAATTATAATTTTAAAATGAGAATTCAGTAGTAAAATACTTATTAAAGAGCTACTGATTTTGATAATCTTAAATTGTAAAAAAATTAATATTATAACTTAAATATTAAGGTACTAATTAAAATATTATTAAATATTTTAAATGAAAAAAAAATTTACATAAAATATTTATTTATATATATTAAAATTGTTTATTTACAATAATTAAAAATTAAAAAATTGAGAAAACTTCAAAATTTAATTATACATATAAAAATATTAACACCTTTAAAATATTAAAGGATAAAAATGTAGTAAAAATTATTATAGATAAATAAAAAAATATATGTAAAAAAAAAAAAATTATGGAACATAAAATTATTTAAAATAAGATAATAATAAATTAAATATAATTATAGTAATAATTATATTAATAATATAAAATTATAATATTTATTAAAAAAAAATGATAATGAATAAATTAAAATATTAATCTTTGATAAATATATTAAAAAAATAAATAAATAAAAAAATAAGATATTTAAAATCTAGAGAAAATAAATAGTATAGTTTGATACAATAAATATTCAAAAGAAAAATAATAAATTTTTAAATAAAATAAAATATAAGTAAAAAGCATTTATAAATTATATAATGATAAAATACTAAATAATATTATTTAAAAATATATTAATAATATTAATATATAAAAAAGTTTTTATATAAAAAAATTAAGAATATATGAAAAAATAATAAAAATTTAATAATATATGATATATTTATATATATATTATATAATATATATATATATATATATATATATATATATATATAAAATTATATAAAAATTATGTCAAGCAAATCCAAAATTACTGTTTTAGATCC